GATCTCTTGACCTCGTGATCCACCCGCCTCGGCCTCCCAAAGTGCTGGGATTACAGGCTTGAGCCACCGCGCCTGGCCGATTCAGGTAGTCTTTACTGGCTCAGCCAGATGCTGGGATGGTGGTGAGCACATTGTAGAGAGCTCTCATTACTTGTTTTTATTTTAATATTCTTAGTCTAGCTCATTTTCCTGATAATGTGCTATTTTATTTTGTTATTATTTGTTTTTAAAAAAAATAGGCTGGGCGCTGTGGCTTACGCCTGTAATCCCAGCACTCTGGGAGGCCGAGGCAAGTGGATCACAAGGTCAGGGGTTCAAGGCCTGCCTGGCCAACATCGTGAAACTGTGTCTCTACTAAAAATACAACACTTAGCTGGGCATGTTGGCGCGCACCTGTAATCCTAGCCACTCGGGAGGCTGAGGCAGGAGAATTGCTTGAAGTGGGACCCGGGAAGTGGAGGTTGCAGTGAGCTGAGATCGTGCCACTGTACTCCAGCCTGGGCCGCAGAGCAAGACTCCATCTCAGAATAAATACATAAATAAAGACTAGGTCTCCCTATGTTGCCCAAGCTGGTCTGGAACTTTTGGCATAAAGAGATCCATCTTGGTCTCTCACAGGGCTGGAATGATATGTGCTATTTTAAAAGTAGACTTTCAAACTTTGTTTCTTTGAGGAATTTACTTTTTACTTTATAGTGAACTGGATCTTTCAAATCATCACAGCAAAACATTACACCATTCATACTAGGTGGGGTCTAAGTAAAAGGTCTAAAATGTAAACATTTTTCTGTTTAAGGTTTTAATTTTGAGATCATTGTAGATTGACATACTGGTGTAAGAAATAATAACCTTGTGTGTCTTTCCCCAGTCCCCCAAGGGTAACTTTTTGTAGAAATGGAGTACAATTATCACCAGGATATTGACATTGGTACAGTCTCTCTTTGATGCAGTCCACCATCTCATTCAGATTTCCCTGCTTTTACTTCTGCTCATTTGTGTGTGTGTTTAGTTCATTAACTACATGGCATACTTTATTCAGAACTTAGTGTTTTTTTTTCCTAATGTCCTTTTTCTGTCTCAGAATCCCACATTACTGTGAGACTTCATGTCCCAAGGGGTTGGGCTCCTCTAGACAGTGACAGTTTCTCAGGCTGTCCTTTTTGGTGACCTTGAGAGGTTTTTTTTTTTTTTTTTTTTTTTTAATTTGAGACGGAGTTTCGCTCTTGTTACCCAGGCTGGAGTGCAATGGCGCG